ACTGGGAATTGGAAAGACCAAACAACACAAATTCACTTTCTCAAAGGCTCTGAAGAGGATTTTCGAAACATGAATTGGAAGATTGAATTTGATAGAGGTGAATTTTCAGACGATCAAATAGTTGAAAAAATAAAAACATCAGGTTTTAAGGATGGAGAAATTATTTTCGATAACGAAAAGGTTTTATGGCATCAAAATTTCCCAGACTTTAAGAAAAAATATTTGAAAGACTATCCTCATAGCAAGCCTTTATATGAATATAAATTGGATCTTGAGAATCTTCTTGTTGAATCTACTGAACCAGATAATTTAGTATATGATTCACAAATAAGTAGTTGTGATTCAGACGATTCTCAATATACAAAAGAGAGAAAATTGAAAAATAAAGCCAACGATAAACGTAAAGCAGAATTCAAATTAGAGAAAGTGGTTATTAAAAAAAATAAATAGATGTTATTTTATTAAAATAAACTAAAAGTTTACAGAATAACCATTTCTATTTCCTGTTTTCTTATTATGTTCCAATTTGAAATTTATAGCTTGTTGTTTTAATTTAAACCATTTTACTTTTTCCTTACTATTTTCAAACCAACGAAATCTCCAAGCATTAATTGTTTTGTGATAACTAATACCATTATATCCTGATGTATTATTTTTTTGTAATTTACAATTTAACGCATTTTCTCTAAATGTTGTTTCTTTTAAGTTGCATTCTCAGTTATCGAGACCATTCCTATTAATATGATCAATCATTTTCCATTCTGGTCGAATCAAACGATGAAGTCTTAAATTTTTTTGATTATTTTTTGTTTCAATATAATATGTATTTCTATGTTTCCAAGACGACCAGGTATATTTTTTCATTATTTCATAATTTTTAATATCGATTAAAAAAGTAATTTCTGGTTTCTGGGTTTCAACCTCAAAATAATCAACATTATTAATTGATATCTTTCGAATTCGATTATAAAGTTTATTTTTATAAACACCTTTTCCTTGTTCGCCAAAGGTCCAAAATGTTTTGATGGTAAGACTCGGATGAATTTTCTTCCAAGGTGAATTCTGAGATTCAGTTTCTAGGAACAATCTTGTTGATTCAAACATTCTGATGAAACTTTAACTAATAAACAATTTAGAGAATGTCGAAGGAATTAAGAATACCTTCTTTTATATTTATACTTTAAGTTTATTTATTTAATTATTTAATTAATACAAATAAATATTTCGAAAATATTGACAATTATTACATCTAAAAAACCATTTTTTTTTATCTGTTGACCTTCTGAAATAAATTTGTTTTTGTTCTTCAGAACATTTACACAATTCTGAATA